ACGCGTGATGCCCCGATCCACCCCCCCTCCACCCCTCTCTACATGGGGGTAAGGTGCCTTGAGCCCCCACGTTGTTTTCCTTAGTTGATGCTTAGGAAGGGCGGTGATGCTGGCCGCAGGAAAAGCCCCTTTTGCCTGCCCCAAAGTTCTGTCCCTCCACATCTTCCCACGCTGATTTTCCATTCTCGATAAGCCTCAGCCAGCAGCGTCTTGGGAGAGGTGGCTCCTCACGGCCCCAGGCAGAAGTGAGGTTCTGCCCTGGACTGCTGCCACAGCCTGCAAAAGCCCCTTGGTGGAAGGGGCAGGAGGCTTAAGACCTCTGCGTGTGCCACCCCCCCAGCTTCTCACCTCCTCCTCCTCCTCCTCCTCCTCCTCCTCCTCAGGCAGTGCCCCTCCTGAATTCAGCCTTGCGGCTTTTGACTCCCCCCACATACCTCAAGCAAGTTGAAGCGCATGTGGTGGCAAAGGATGTCGAATGGGGGCCCCTCGGGGTGCCATCCTTTTACGTGCTGTGCCTGGAAAAGTTTGGGGTAGTTGAACTGGTAGCCGGCAGGCAGGGCAAAGCGCAGTGATCTTCTGTCCCCAAAGCGGTGCAGAATGTTGATGAGGGTGCTGCTTGCAGTCTTATGGGTCTTCAGGAAGACCAGGTGTTGCCGTGGCTGGCAGGAGACAAGGTGGCCGGTGGGCTCTTCCTTCCCTGCCCCCTCAGTTCCTGCTGAGGGGACCCGAGGTGTGGGGAGCAGTGGAGCCAAGAGGACCCTGCTGGAAGAGGTTGGAAGAGGGTGAGCCAGCTGACTCGGTGGCTTCTCAACCAGGGAATGGCTCAACTCCCAGTGACTTCCTGGAGAAGTCCACATAGATTTCCCGGCAGCAGGACGACAGGTGTTTGCCAGTGCCTCCTCTGGGGATGTTTTCAGCTCCCGTTCTGGCCTACATCCCTGGCGGTCAAGCCCTAACTAGGTCTGGTCCTGCTTAGCTCCCAAAAGGACGCAGCGTAACCTTGCACGGATGCAGCACACTGTGCCCACTGCACGCACACTGCATGGCCCTCATGGAACCGCTCGGTTCCCAGGCTGCATAGCAACCTTCTCTCCGGTCACTTGGAGCCTTTCTGGCCTACTCTAGCATGCTGCATGGCATGGTCCAGCCTCTCGCCCAGAAGGGCCCTGTGGTGGGCGAGCCCGAGATGCCAACGAGGGGGGGGAGGCATTACCTCTTTGGAAGGGAGAGCCCCAGGAGCTGGACGGTGAAGCCAATCATTGTGGAGGCAGCCAGAGCAGTCCAGAGCAAGGGCAGCCGACAGCAGCAGCAGCAGCAGCCGCAGCAGCAGCACCGCCACCGCTGCCCCCTGGAAGAGGTCCTCATCCTTCACCTTGGCAGGGCAGAGAGACAGCAGTGGTGGGAGAGCACCTGTGTCAAGCAGCGCCCAGAGATCCTGCCCTGTCCCTGTTCCCGTGGGCAAGCAGGAGCCCAGCCAGTGGCTTGCACACCGAGCATATCCCCTGGGATTGCCCGCAGGGCAGGAGGCTGCCCTCTGAACCTGCTCCTGTCTTGCAGGGGTCACCTGAGCCCTCATGGGGTGCTGGGAGAAGCACCCAACCATTTTAAATCCTCCTCAGCCAAGGAAAGCCTGTAGTTGATGCTTAGGAAGGGC